ACGTCACCGGGAGCCAAAGCAGGAGCTAAGGGTAGTGACTTGGAACAGGCAACTGCCATGCATGGGTATGTCTGTCTGTGTCTCTCTGCACTCTGCCCTCCTCTACCTCTGCCAGAGGCTCTGCAGAGGGGCTGTGACCCTGGTGTAGGGGCAACGATTGGTATAGAAGACCCTGCCTGGGGCGGGGCAAGCAGGTGTGATGCCAGGTTAGCCCCTTCCGGCCTTGGAGACTCTCTGCTCATGGGTAGCTCAGTTGGTACCATGCTTACCTAGTATGCACAAAGCCCTGGATTTGATCCCCAGCACTGCAAAAAGCCTGGTGCAGTTGTGCATGTCTGTAACTCCAGCCCTTGGGTGGTGAAGCTGGAGGATCAGAAGTTCAAGGTACTTCTTGGATACACAGTGATTTCAAAGCCATCCTGGGCTGCAAAAGATTCTGTCCCACAAATAAAACAATACTTTTTTAAAAAGGAAGAAAAGAGAGATGGGGAGGGAGTCCTCACTTCATGTGAAGTACTAGCAGGTACCTCTGTATGGGGCGCGCAGGGATCTTGTGGCGCCGGCCCCCTGCGCACCCTGGAGAGGCGGCGGTCCCGCAGCGTCTGCTCCGCGTTGCTGGCTCTCTGGCGGGTCTCTGCTTCTCCGCCGCTTCCCCGCGTCTCTGAGGCTTCTGCTGGCGGGGCTTGCCAGGCCGAGTTCCGCCCTAATTTCACCCGTGTACTCTGTCTCTAAGTTCGGGACTGTCAGCTGCCGGATCAGCTAGGCTAAAGCTAGGTTTCCATGAGTCGATGACGGAAGGATATCGCCCCCCGGAGAGACTGGATCATAGGCAGTGAGACACAGGACTCAGCTCAATCCGTGTTACAGCTCTTTATTCAATGACTCAGCTCGGCTCCAAGTCTCAGTGTTTCAGTTCCTAGCTCCTAGTGATCCAGCTCCAATATTGAGAGAAAACCAGGACATTTTATACCGTGGGGGTAGTGGTAAAAGCTTTAGCTGATAGGTACTTTTAGGATGCCCCATTTACACGTGGCGGTAAGCTCCTGCCAGGCTGCCAGACTGCCAGAAAAATCACACAGGAAAGGCTGGCAATTTCCAGAGCCGAAGGCCATGTTTCTGTGGCGGCTACTTCAAAAGATGAGTCAGGAAGATGCCAAGAAGGTACCCTGATGAAAAGGAGTCTTCTGCATATGAAACCGAGCCCATGGGCTGTCCGGACGTGGAGAGACTACTACTTCACAACAGGGGTCCCCAACACTAGACTTCTGTGTGTATCACACTGATATACATGGAGGCCTCACTGGTGAGAGTTGAGGGGTGCATTAGCCCTCTCTCTACCCCTTATTTCTGGTCACAACAGACATGATTCCCATGTCTTCCTTTTGTGGACCAGGGCCCCTTCCCCGCTTATCCAGTGTTATGGGGAAAAGTCTGTACTCATGAGCCCAAACTGTAAGAGGCAAATGAATGCCTCCAAGCATGTAGTGGCCTGAGGAGGCAGTAAGGGATAGTGGGGACTGCAGAGGGTTGGAAGTGATTGTCCCTCAAAAGGGCACAGGTACCACCAAGCACTCTACTTCTGTCGTCTTTTGGAAGCCTGAACCCAGTGCCACTATAGGTATGGATGTTTCAAAAGAAACTGGAGGTCTGGGGTGTAGCTCAGTGATAGAAAACTTGCCCAGGGTGTGAACCACAGAACAAAAAGGGGGACGGGGAGAGGGAAGCTGGGAAAACAGGCACTCTGAAATCTCTTGACACTTTTCCATACAACTAATTTAAAATTGTTTCAAACATTATAGGAGATAAATAAATGTATCCAAGGCCCCAAACATGGGTGGCTCAGTCCTGAGTGAGGGGAGGGGAGCAAGGTCTCTGTGCTCTGGGACCAGCTCTAACCCAAAAGCCTAGGACACTGTTAGAGGTGACCCAAGGCCTCTTGAGATTGGCCTGCTCTGAGCTGCCCAGGCAGCCAGCTTGCTCCAGGGTTCTAGGCTCTGAGCCTACCCTGTGGGCAGGGATGGCCAGGCCTGCCCACCAAGACCCAGAGGAGGCAGCAATCCTTCTGTGCCAGTATTGCCCCTTCTGCTGTGGCCTGGGTGGTCTCCATCTGTGGGACCTGCTACCAGGTGCCCCCCAGGGGCATCTTCATCCTAGTGCGGTGAGTGGCATCTACAGCAAGGCTGGGGTATTTACTGCTTCTGGAGCCACACCGAGTGGATGAACATGGACCTTGCCACGTGTGGCTGAGCAAGAACGTGGTCTTAGCTTGTGCCTCCCTTTGCTCTCCTGGATCATCAAGGCAATACGGATCACAGTGATAGTCTTGGGGTCCCAGACTCAGGTCTCAGAAGAGTGCCTGGCACCACTCCATAGTGTGCTAGCAACTTCAGTATACCGCTCACACATGCATGTGCATGTGCACACAAGCCGACATGCACATGTGTGTACATATGCATGAACAAAAGCACGCATGTCTTACCCTAACTCACTGGTGGCAGGTGTCCTCTCTGTGCATCCCCATGGGCACTGTCTCTGAAGGGAGAAGCCTCTCTGCTCTGTACACTTTGTCTCTGCGTCCTGCAGTTTAAGGAGCAGCATTTGCTGGGTCCTGTAGTGTGCCAGGCACTGTATTAGGGACTGATGTATCTTTATTTAGTGTCTTGGAATGGAACCCAGGGCTTCACATATGCTGGACGAGGGCTTTACCACTGAGCCATGCTCACGGACCTAAGAAGCCCTGGGGTGGGGCATGAAATAGGCTGCCAGAGAGCTCCAGGTCCCACAAAGCCACACATTGGAGCTTTGGCATTGTGCCCCTAGCACACCCTGAAGACCCTAGTTTAGGGGAATTCTGCACACTAAGGATATGCATGACATCAGGCTCTCTAAAGACCAGATCTCCTAGAGCTTCCTGCTGTGAGAGTTTCTTCTGCTCACCCACAGGGCAGAGAACTTTACAGATCTCAACTCCTTTCTCTCTTTGCCTTGGCTGCCAGGAAACTCCTAGTACTGCTGCTGTGTATTTAGTTGCCATGGGTGCACTTAGCCAGAAGTCCCCCTGCTTTCTTTCTCTCTCTCTGTTCTTCTAGCCCTCAAGTGCTCTCCAGTCCTGCAGTAGATGTTTGGGTGTTTGGGGTCTTTTCTTTCTAATGTGTGCTTTTTTTACCCAAGTGGTTTTTGTTTTGTTTTTTGAGGTATGGCATATTGGAATGTGTACAAGTCATAAGGGTGCTGATCAGTGACTTTGCTTAAAGTAGACACAACTGGGTTAATGTGTCAGGCTCAGACCCAGCAGTGCTGGCATCCCGGAAGCCCCAGGTTCCTCTGGTCATTTACCCACCAACAGCTGAGTTCCAATGAGAGGTCACTGTGAGTGTGGGCTGATTTTAGCCTCACACGAATGGAGTCAGACAGCATACATTCATTATTTTGCTTGTGATTATGGTTTTTGCTTTTTAAGAATGTTATAAAATATAGCTGACCTCATTTACCGTCTTCTCAGCCTTTCTTAAAGTTCAGTTGCATTGATTACATTCTCAGGGCTGTGTGGCCACCCTGCCATCCATCCCGACGCTTTTCCTATTATGTAACTGAAGCTGGACCACCAAACGGAAACTTCCACTTCCTTCCCAGCAACCAGCCTTCCATTTCCTGTGGCAGCTGTAGGAACCTCATATAAGTGCAGTCACATAGCATCTGTCCTTTTATGAGTGGCTTATTTTGCGTAGCATCTTCTAGATTCATCTTGTGTGCCCTATGCCAGAATTTCTTGACTTTTCTACTGTGTGTGCATCCTGCGTTGTGTGTATTGATGGACAGCTGACTTGTTCCCACCTGAGTTACTGTTCATAGTCCTGCATATGTGCCTCTTTGCACCCTGCCTTCCGTTCTTTCTGGAGTTTACCCAGAGGTGGATTGCTGGCGCAGTAATTCGGTTCTCAGTTCCTTGGAGACCACCGCACTGTGTGTGCACTCCAGCTGCAGTCAGAAGAGGGCTTTTGATTCCCCTGGAACTGGAGTTAAGAGGTTTGTAGCTGCCATGTGGGTGCTGGGAATCAAACCCGGATCCTCTGTGAGAGCAGTCAGTGCTCTTAACTGCTCAGCCATCTCTCCAGCCCCACCATTTTCTTTTGATGGTAGCATCCTGAGGGGTGTGAGGCTGTGTCTCATCATGGGTTTTTTCTTATCTATGTGTGCATTGCGTGATGTCTGTGTGTGTGTCTCTGGGTGTTAGTGTGAGTGGGAGAGTGTGTGAGCCAAGTGCACATGTGTGCACTATGAGGTCGGAGGACAACCTTGGGTTGCTCCTTATTGCACACAGGCCTCTTCTTGTTCACTACTGCCTATGCCAGGCTAGCTGGCCCACCAGTATCCAGGGATCCTTCTGTCTCTGCCATCTCACTGTAGGAACAGTGGGATTTCACATATGCCCTGCTGTGCCTGGCTTTACATGAGTCCTGGGATCTGAACTCAGATCCCCACACTTGCATGGCAAACCTTTGACCCACCAAGCCATCTCTCCAGCACTCATTGTGGTTTTGATGAGTTATATTGACTGGAATGGCGAATGGTCACATCAGTGTGTTATCTGTCTTGTCCCACGATCTGTGCCCCTGGCTTCCCTTTGCATCAGTGCCATGTGGCCTGACTCAGGAGAGATCTACTCATTTTCCTGTGCCTGGGCATAGCCTTGCTCTGCATTTGGGGTGACTGCCAAACCCATTGACACAATGCAGGTACATGTTCCCCAAGGGCCATTTACCCCTGGCTTGGACAAGCGCCACAGGCCAGGCTAGCCGCATGCCCACTGTTCCTTGGGCTCTCTGCGCTGGCAGCCTGGGCCAACCTCCTGGGTGTGCCCTCCCAGAGCCTAATCTCTTTCCTTTGGAAGAGCCTCCTTTGGCCCACACTGCCCTCTCTACCTTCCATTGTCCCAAGCATCCTCTGTCCATCACTGAGCAATGTGGCAGAGGGTGTGAGCAGCCCCTTTCTGTGCCTAGGGATCTTTGGGCAGCGCCTAGAGGACACAGTGCACCATGAGCGGAAGTATGGCCCCCGCCTGGCGCCCCTGCTGGTGGAGCAGTGTGTGGACTTCATCCGGGAGCGAGGACTCAGTGAGGAGGGGCTCTTCCGTATGCCAGGCCAGGCCAACCTGGTGAGGGACCTGCAGGACTCCTTCGACTGTGGGGAGAAGCCACTGTTTGACAGGTGAGCTCTGGGGGATAGGCCAGTACAGTGGAGTCACTAATCAGTCCTCCTGTGGGCTCCTCCCTGACACCAGCCCCTGTGAACATGCATATTTAGCCAGCCCACCTAGTGGGCAGAGCAGCAGGGCACAGCACACTCTGGCCCACTGGTCTCAAGGGTCTCTGGCACAAATGAGGTCAGTGCACAGACACATGCTAGGTTCCACAGCTCCTCCTGACTGGGGCAGAGGGAAGTGGGACTCAGCTAGCTGCCAGGCCAGCACAGCTCAGGCACAGCTGCACCCAGGACTTCAGGCTCACTGCAACACATGTCTTGAATCTGCCACCACTCAGTGAATGTCCCAACCCAAGGAGCTATTCGTGGCATGATGGCACAGCATCTGAGTTCTACCTCCACTCAGCTTCTGGGACAGGGAGACGTTCTCTTCTGCTGGCATTGGGTCTGTGCCCATCACTGGGGTTTACCTGTGGCTAGGTAGAGACAACTACTCTCACTACCCAGGGGCTGAGAGTGGCAGAGTAGGGCTTGCCCCACCCTGGGGCCATGGGTGGGCTTTCTTCCTTGTCAGGACCCCACTCATGATGGGGCAATGCTGTATACAAAGTTCTTGCATCAAGCCATCAAACCAACCCCCACAAAGCTCCTGCCTCTTCTGTCTGCCCTCAGACAGACCTGGGCTCCTGCCACAGAACAAGCCCAACAATCTCCCTCGGGATATAGTATCCCTCCAGCTTCTGCCAAAACCCATGGCCCAGTTCCTCTATTAGATATGGAGCCCAGGACTAACCACTGCTCCCAAGGGACGGCATAAGCATTCATTTACCAGGAACATTGTGAATCCCCGTTCCAAGCTTGTGGTAAGCTTATGGTTCACTCTGAACTTCTGTCAGCCAGATCTCTCTCTCCTATAGGCCTGGGTGGAGACTGCTTCAAACATGTTGCCTGAGTAGTACCTGGAAACAAGGGCTTTTCAAAGTTCCCCAGGGCCAGACACACTGCTCTGGTGTTATTTACTGAAAGGATTTCTTTCAGTAAATCAAACCTCACACTCTCCTATTTAGGCTCCACTGGGATTTGCTAACAAGGTAGCAACCCTTCTTGTTCTAACTCACCCTGTGGTGTCATCATCATGGTACAGTCGCTATCCCAAGGTGTGATGCCAGCTGGGTTCAGTTTGGCTCTTCTGCATGAGCTTGGGCCTGCAGACCTACATGAGCAGCTTTCCCTGCATACCCTTGGCTTCCCAACTGCCCCCTTGCTCTTGGCTCTTCCCTTCCTGGGGCTATAACGGCTCTTCTCCCTGATGGACCTCTCAGCAGTAACCCTCCATCGGGGTGGCCTTGGGCTCAGGTTTCCCTCCTTTAGAAACTCTCTGAGTTTCTGAGACCATTCTGTCAGAAATCTGTGATCCCTGTAGCAGCCACCTGCAAACCAGGGGCTCTGGGACTCTCCTTTCCCCAACTCACTCTCAAGGGCTTTGTTCCCTATACCCTACCTCCACCAACCAGCTGGCCTCACATGCTAGCACTCCCTCTCCCAGGCTTACCCTGTCCTGTCCTTAGCCCATCTTGTGCTATAATCCACCTGTTGCTTCTACCCTTGGCCTTCCTCCACCCCAAAGCTCCCTTTTCACCCACTTACTCTTTCCCCATAGGAAGATTCCCTCCAGCTCCAGGGAGTGTGGATGGGCTAAGAAGCTAGCAAAGGATATAGGGTGGGGAGATGGGAGCCTGTGAGCTAGTGAGCCATGCACGTACACATGCATGCATGCACGCGTATGTGTGTGCGAGAGTGTGTGTTCTTCAGGATTGAAGACAGGCAGGGGGCAGGGCTCCAGCTCTGAATGGATGCTTTTCACGTCCTTGGGAACGAAGAGAGGAAGGGAAGCCAAAGATGGAGGCGTGGGCAATGGGGACAGGTCTGCTGACCTACTGGACCTGCTGCAGCCCTGCCCTCCGTCCACCAGCAGCATGCAGCAGCTGATGTGAGACTCCCAGGCTGGTGGGCCTGGGCCAGGAATGCTCTCCCTGGTGCTGGTGAGAATGTGGTGGAGGTGTACTGAATTTACAGTGCTGTGGGAAGGGAATTCTGGGACCCTGTAGCTGAGTGGTAAAGGGAAGTCCTACAATGAGTGGGGCTGGAGAGCTACAGAGGGAAGGCTGTTAGAGAGCCAGGGTTTGGAAAGCAGTGGGTGTGGGGTGCAGCTGAGCGGCAGAGCTCTGTGGGGCACAGGTGCCATGGAAGTGGGCTTCAAGCAGGGACATAGGCGGGAAGGTTTGTGAAGTGGAGGGGGCCGCATGTCAGCACCTCTGCTTCCTGTCCATGCCCCGTTGCCCTCAAGGGACCACTCAGGCAGCAGCTGCCACTGACTCTGAAGTGCTCCAGTTGGGAAGGGCCCTGGGCTTGAATGTGGGTGGTGAAGGTGGCCCAGGAGAAGGCAGCAAGCAGTGGATAGCAGCATGTTTGCCTGGAGAGAGGAGGTCAAAGTGAAGGGCCCCACATGTATAGATCTGGAATGCACATGATCATATGGAAGTCCAGAATCCCAAATGTCAGGACTGAAGGACCCCCCCCCGGTGCTTTGTAAGGCCAGTGTGGTACTTGGCCAGGACCAAATTACATGTTACTAACATAACTGTGGTCTGTTGGCCCTAGATGCATTTTCTCTGAGATGGAGACCAGGGGCAAGGGCCTGACCTCTCAGCCGTCCAGCTGGTACTCAGATTCCTGATCTCTGCAGGGAGGTCAGCGCTGGATGGTGGTTCCTCCCAAACCAGCTAAGGACCAATCCAGGGGTGTCACTATACCCCATGAGGGCTTCATGTGAGCTGGTCCAGGTCACAGGTGATTCCTCCTGCCCAGAGCACCTGTTATGGGTGTGCCCTGTAGGGTGCTGTACATCCCTGTGCACTGGAGAGGGTCCCCCACACTGTGTACACAGGGAAGGGTCTCCAGTTCCACACTGTGCACAGAAGAGGATCCCCACATTGTATGCACCAGAGAGGGTCCCCTTTCACCTCTCACACAGACGTGAGACTAGATTCTGAGCTGGCGGTGTGGAGCTGATGAGTAGACCCTGACCTGGACCCGGGGCCTCTCAGTCTTTCTTCACCCCACCGGGGCCCTGTCTATTGCATCTGCAGGCAGCCTGGGCCCGACCTTGAGCTGGGGCAGCTAGCTAGCTGCATGCACACACCCCAGTCTGAGATCCCGGACTGTCCTGGAGGTGTAAAGTGTGTTAGTCCTGCAGTTGCCTGGGGTCCTGGCTTTACTCACGTCCCCTCTCCCACCCTCAGCACAACAGACGTGCACACTGTGGCCTCCCTGCTGAAGCTCTACCTGAGGGAGCTCCCCGAGCCCGTGATCCCCTTCGCCAGGTACGAGGACTTCCTCAGCTGCGCACAGCTGCTCACCAAGGACGAGGGGGAGGTCAGTGCCTCCCGGGACACATCCTGGGGGTGGGCTAGCCAGCAGGCATTCGGAGTCAGGACTTCTCCATGGTGCATGAATCCTGGCCAGAAGCTTGTGTGGGGAGGGGAGGGGAGGGGCCCAAGGGATATGCAGGCTATGTAGAACTCTGCTATACAGGCCTCTGTCTGGGAGGCAGGTCGCTGTTAGTACAGCGTGCCCAGCTCTGGCATCCTCACAGTGGGTACTCTGGTTCCACCACGTTCTCCTAATCCTGGCTTAGGCTGCCAGGCCTTCTAAGGGTTCAAGACCAAAGAACCCTGGTACCTGTTTCTATACCTCTTCCAGTTCCTGACAGCTCCCAGGACAAGGTTCAGCCCTCCTCCCTCCAGGTCCTATGGGAAGCAGAGCAGGAGTCATCAGTAGGCTTGGGCCACTGCAGTGGAAAGACTGTTTGCCTTCCCTGTGGCCATGTGGGGGATGAGAGTTGCCATCTGGCAAATATTTGTGCCCTGATAAGTGAGCTGTGACATTCTTCTGTGGTCTGGCAAAGGCCCACCTCTCACCTGAGCTCCCAGAAAGAAAATCAGCCTTCCTAGGTCCCAGCCACTCTGTGAAGGGATGGAGGTCTGCTGGGGCTGATCCCGCCTTCTGCTCCTTATCCTGCCCTCCGCCTCATGGTTGGTGTTTGAAATTCTGTGTTCTCCTTCCTTCCCAAGGGGACTCTGGAGTTGGCTAAACAAGTGAGCAACCTTCCTCAGGCCAACTACAACCTCCTCAGATATATCTGCAAGTGAGTGGCATGTGGGGTGGGGTTGGCATGGCCTGCTCTAGCTCTGTGCTTACTTCCTCCATCTCTGGAGAGACCATCCCCTTCACGGGGCGGGGGCGGGGGGATGTGTGGCCGTTCCCCTTCCAGCACTGCCTTACCAAGTGTTGATGTGGTAAGGCGTGCCAAAAAACATGGAGGTCAGGCTCTGTGGGAGTGGGTAGTCAGACAGTGGATCATTCCAGAAAGAACCCGGTCTCTGCCCATCTGGCACTGTCTCTATCCCTTCTCCCCAGGTGTCCACCCCTTAATCATATCCTTCATACACCCTCTTTCTGGGTGCAGGCAGGGGCCTGCAGGGGTAGCTCTCACCTAGCCCTTTGCCAGGTGGGGTCTGGGTTTCTGGGGCATCTGTTCTCCACACCAAAGAGGATGGACCTATATCCTTTGGTCTTTGTTTCTGATGGCACTCTCAGACCTCAGGGAAAGTTCTGCCCTGATAAGGTACAGGTGTAGCTGGCTGTGCCCAGCAACCATGGAAACCATGGGAGGCCTGACTCTGTGTGTGTGTATGGTATGGGTCTGGGGGTGCAAGGGTGGGGCTCTGTATGGCTATGGCTGGGGTTTGGTTGTTTGTGGCTGCAGTGGACTGGGGTGGGTGGGCATGGGGGATGTGGTGGGTGTAGTATGGTGGATTGAGGGGCATGGATGGCCATGGGAGTGTAGTAAGTGGATGATGGTGTGGATGGATATGGAATGGGGTGGGGGAGGTGGGTGTGGTATGAAGGGTGTGTCTGGACAGTATAGTTTGGTGGGTGGCTAGGTGGTGTGGGGTGGGCATCGTGTGGTATGGTGGCTATATCTCAGGGATATGGCTAGCAGTGGTAGTGTGGTAAGTGGGTAGATGATGTAGAGTAGGTAGAGGTGTAGGTGGGTGTCAGGTGGGGATGGGGTGTGGCAAGGCAAGGTTTAGGGACCCGGGCAGCTCATAGCATGTTGGAGTTGAGAATTTGCTGCTTCACCAGTCACTTCTTCCTCTTTTCCAGGTTTCTGGATGAAGTTCAGGCCCACTCAAATGTCAACAAGATGAGTGTCCAGAACCTGGCAACTGTTTTTGGCCCTAATATCCTTCGACCACAGATAGAGGATCCAGTAACCATCATGGAGGGTAAAAGGGAGGCTGCTCAGCAGTACTGGAAACTGATGGGGTTTGGGCTCATCTTAGTCCCCAGCATATTCTCAGAACTACCTCAGGCCAAAGCCAGGCCAGGGGGATGATAGTTTAGGTGTCTGTCCCGTCTCCATCTTTGGGGACATGCTCTCTCTGCTTTGAGTTCCTGCTACAGAAGCAGAGAAAGGGATTTGTTACCTTATAAGCTAGTAGCAGTTGGTCATTGGGTGCAGATAAAATGACCAGTGGATAGAGTGGACAGGGAGGCCTCAAAGCAGGAGAGGTCAGTGTCCTTGTCCTTGAACCCACACAGGTGTTTTTTGCTTTATTGTATAGTGCGGTGACTATCCTAGGTTCTTGGATGACAGAAATTTGCAAACACCAGGGACTTTCTCTTCTGTGATAAGTAATAGAAAGATTATTTTAAAGCAACATGGTGAGGCTGAGGAGGGAAGATCACTTAGAGCCAGGAATTTGAGGCCAGCATGGACAACATGAGACGTGGTCCAAAATAAAGGAAAAGAAGGAAAGAGGTAAAAACGTAGCCGCCACAGCCGCTCTCGGTGCCCTCCATCCAGTGATTTTTCTGTACCAACTCAGTCCCAGCCCTCACACTCAGCCTATGTGTGATAACTGCCCGTAAGTTCCAGATGGTGAAACTGAGGCCAAGAAAGGAGAGGTGGCTCAGCAGAGTCACATCAGCCAGGCATGCAAAGGGCCCAGAGACAGGCTGCTATAGAAATCAGAGCCTGAGCGCTCAGACCCTTGGGAAGGCTGTCTCCAATAGAGCCAGTGTGAGAGCCACTTCCTGCACGGGAAGCCCACACCCAGCCAGTGGGGACTCCCAGGGTCCTGATTCAGGAGTGGGGACAGGGACTCCAACTTGGATGCCTACAAGAGCTCCACTGCCTGCCTCTGGGAGGACCCAGTTTTCTGGCTGAGGAGTACATCTTTCTGTAATTTCCTCATGATCTCTAGCAGCACTCCATAGGGAGTCCATCCAGGCCTTGGCCTTCATCCCCTATGAACCTCCTGTGTCTGGTCTTCAGTTGTAAGTAACTGGATGGAGTAAGGCTGGTTAGTAGATGCCATAGACCTTAGTACCAGCCTGCCCTTAATGCTGACCTACATCTCACCACCACAGGAGCAAGCCCCCAGATTTGGAGCACTGCCTCTCAGGGTCCTTGGTCTGATGAAGAGGGATTGTGTGGGCGGTGCTGTGCATATGTATATACATGTATGTATGTGTACCCACACACATTAAGAAGGCTCTATTTCCCGTCTCAGAGGCCTCTGTCCCCACAGGGTATTCAGTAGGGCATAGCCATCGGCAGCAGCAGAGGCAGTGGGTGGTTGATAGACTCTGACATCCTGGGTTTTGGCCACCCATCATCCTGTGGCCTCGATGGGCATCATGCCTGAATGGCACCTGTGTCCTCCTAGGTAAATGACACGGTGCTTCCTCCTTCCTCAGGGCTCTGTGTCCAAGGAAGGGGCCTTGTGCTCACAATCCTTCAGTCAGTGCCTAGTTCTGTGTGGTGTGACTGTCATTTTCTAGACACAGGTAAAGGTTTCCTGTAGGAACAGGTGCCCTGTTTAAAGGTACATGTTTGGGCCATTCACAGTGGCCTCTCCTCTCTTCCTCACAGGCACTTCTTTAGTCCAGCACCTGATGACTGTCCTCATCCGAAAACACAGCCAGCTCTTTGCTGCGACCTCCATGGAAGAACCTGCCTCACCACACTGCACTCTGCAAGGCACGGCAGAGTGGGGCCCCCACGAGGTCACCAGGGACCACCAGATTGAGCCTGGCGGCCCTGGCCTGCCCCCACACAGGACCTCATCTCTGGATGGGCCAGCCGCAGCAGTGCTCTCTAGAACTTCTCCCCCAGGCATTGGCAGCCAGGCTGGCCCTGCAGCCACCAGCCCAGGAAAGAGGATGCAGACTCTGCCTGGCTGGAAGTCTTCATTCCGGCAGCCAGGGTTCCGGTCAGGGAGCCCAAAGGGGGGCAGCTCATCCTTAGAGGTACCCATCATTTCCTCTGGTGGGAACTGGCTCATAAATGGGCTATCCTCTCTACGAGGCCACCGTCGGGCTTCATCAGGGGACCGTCTCAAGGATACAGGCTCAGCACAGAGACTCTCCACCTATGATAATGTGCCCCCACCCAGTCACTTTCCCAGTGCTGCCAGCGTGGCCAGCACAGCATGGTCTGCAGCCTCGTCCTCCCGAGAGGCCTCAGTCAGCAGCTGCACAGCCTGCCGGGCCAGCGACTCTTCTGCCTGCAGTTCCTTACACACCGAGTGGGCTCTTGAGCCCTCCCCCTTGCCCAGCAGCAGTGAAGACCACAGGTCCCTAGACCTGGGCCACAGCTTGGATGAAGTAGGTGTGGGCAGTGGCAGCAGTGAGCCTAATGACCCAAGTAGCCCCACCCAGGCCCATGCCCATCGCTGCCGGGTTCTCCAGGATCAGGTGGCCGAGCTCAGGGCAGAACTGGGCCAGCAGAGGACTGAGTATGAGAGGAGTCTAAAAAGGTAAAGGGCCAAGCCTATGTTGGCTGCTCCAAGGGGCCAGTTTGTCTTCGTGGGAAGATGTCCCCAGGACACAACAGGATTGGGAGGGGTAGATGTAATGTCTGCAAAATCTCTGGAGTTGGCAGGCTGGTATGCAGTCGGTGCTCCACAAATGCCTACTGAAGGCATGGGCAAATGAGATGTCAACTTGCCTGTGGAGCAGGAGTCATGGAGTTCTCAATTGGATGAGATGCCATCTCTTCCTCTCCTCCAGGCAGGTGTCAGATCTCCATTAGCATTGACTACAACCCCATGTACCATGCATGCCCCTGACCAGCCTAGTGGGAGAACATCACTCCCATTAGAATCTGATTTCTCTGCTGAGCCACAGCGCTCATCCATGCTGATCACAGGAGACACATTGTGTTGCCCCTGCTGCTTGGAGGCTCACTCCTTAGTTTCCTTCTCCCCACAGACTTCTGGTGAGGAGGGTGCTCTGCGCTTTATAGAGAGGAGTCTGAGAAGTCAAGTTATCCAACAGAAGTCAATGCAGGCCCTCTGGGGAGCTAGGTCCAAGGCCTGTCTATATCTCAGGCTCCTTGGCCCGTCACCTAGCCCCAGCCAACTGGCTGGCCTGTGTGCCCAAGGCCCACAGCTCGCAACCCCCAGGTAGGGTTCAGAGGCTGCATTTCTTCATTGGTGGCATGCCATGGAAGGCATTTGCTTCTCTTGCTGAGCCTGGGACTGGGAGGGGAGAGCATGCAGCCCCTTTGTCCAGCTGGAGCTCCCAAGCTATGCAGTGCCAGACATGCAGACACTATGTCTGCAGGAGGAAAAGACAGGGCATTTGAGGACTGAGGCCCTAGTTGGTGCTTGGGTACAGTAGGCAGAGCCTGATCATGACTTAATGGCCAATAGGATGGAACTGTGCAGAGGGGGAAGGAGACATGGGGAAGACCCAGGGTATAAAATAGGATGGCCACCTTTGGAAGCCCTCTTGCAAGGTAAGCCATCTATGACAGAGCCTGTTATGGAGGGTGGCCCTAGGAAGGGCTGAGCAGGGAGTGGCCCAATGTGCATACCAGTCTGTCCCTTTTGGTGCCTCTAACAAGCCTTGAGGTCTTCCTTATCTGCACAGAGTCCACCTTGGGAGGGATGGAAGACTACTTGGAGACCTTTGTACTATCCTAACAGAGTGGCTTGGGCTGGTTGGAGGGAGAGTCTGTAGTGAAGAGGGTCTTGAGCCCTGAAAGGAAGAGGTTTCACAACAGATTCTCCAGCATTTCCCAAAGAGAATTTGTTGTGAAATATCAATACTGTGCTAGATGCTGGAGACAAAGCTGTGATCCAAACTTCCAGAATCCTTGCTTCACGCTTCCTGGGGGATCAGGATGAAAACATTCAATAGATTCATCATAAATGTATAACGTGATAGGAAGTGGATAGAAGAGGACAAGGATGGTAACACCCGGGAAGAAAGGGAGTCTCCTTGGGAGAGGATGGGGAGACATGGGAAAGATAGCCTCAGAGCTGTGCCAGCACTGACACGGAAGTCGGGACTTTTAGGCTGGGTGATGCTCTGGGTTTTTTTGTTGTTGTTTTGTTTTGTTTTTAAGAGAGGGTTTCCTAGTAGCCCTTGCTTGGCTTGAAACTCACTATGTAAACCAGGCTGGCCTCAGTCTCACAGAAATCTGCCTGCCTCTGCCTCCTGAGTGCTGGGATTAAAGGTCTGCCCAGATGCTCTGGTCTTATTCATAAGGCAGTAAGTGTGAAGAAGTTGATGGAATGCCTCAAGGGCTTTGGCTCCTCTGACAAAAGGGCTCACGAGGGGTCCAGGGAGCAGAAGCCAGTTAGGAGGCCACAGGAGTCCCCACCCATGTGGGTGGCATGGGCCTCAGGGGCAGTGGAGGTGGGAGGAGCACATGGGTTCTGCACATGTTCTGAAGATGCATCCAGTGGGCCTTGCTCACTGATGGGGTCAAAAGAGCTAACCTGACTGGAGGGCTCAGGGCCATAGGGGAGGTGCTGGAGGCAGACACTCCCTCATGGTGGGGCCCTCAGTGGTACAGACATGGCTTGAGGAAGCAGGAGTTCCATGTTGGATCTATTCAGTTGGAGATGTTCATAAACAGGCTATGAGTTTAGTAGTGCAGCTTAACACAAGAGACGGGACAAGGTCACTCCAGTATAGCACATTGAGCACCAGACAGGCAAAGGAGGTTCTGGGGACAGAAGAGAAGCAGCGAGGTGTCAGTGCCGTCCTCCGTGCAGTCCTCTTTCTGACAGTGTCCGTCCATTGTGGTGAAGGGAGGTTGCCTTGTTGGTGACTGGGGCAGAGAGAGGCCGATCCAGTCGACATATGCAGTGCTCTGGCACTGTGCTGCACACATACTGTCCCTGTTTGTGGTGCCCGCTGTGCTCCGGGCAGGGGTCACCTCTGCATTTCATAGGTCCAGTGCCATCTGTCCTGCCACTGTCATGGGGGCTCAGATGCAGCTGAGTATAGGGACAGGAAAGGTCAGGCATCCCTTAGGATGGATATACTGTACCATCTGGTCCAAAAGACTGATGGGCCAGCCTTTGCACAGTGCCTGCTGGCTCTAATACTGCTAGACTTGCAAGAAGGTCATGGGAGGTGACATCAAAGGGGCCAGGAGAGGCAGATAGGCATTTCCTGTGAGTCTGGCTAGAACACTGCACAGAAAACAGAAGGAAGTGTGGGAGTAGGAGCATAGGAACACAGGACAGGGACCTGTGCTGCTCTGCTGGTGGAAGGTTGACAGCACTGGAGGGACAAAGGGCTTTACTTTAGGACTCAGGATGCCTCTAGCCCAAGTATTAAAGGAAGAATCCTTATGGTGGCCTTTCTGGACTACAAGCCCGGGATAGCCTCTCTGTGGGGGGACCTCCATTTGGCCTGCAGGAGAGGGCATGAGTGGGTGAGACTTCGAGCCTCCTCCTTGAATCCCCCCTTCCCCCTCCTCCCTGCCCTAGTGAACCGCCCAGGGCCACTCCTGCTATGATAGTGACAGTGTTCCACAAACTGGAGTATGAAACTGTTCTCATTTTTTAAGCATCGAAGAGGGCAGTGCTGACCTGCGGAAGCAGATGTTGCTGTTGGAAGAGGAGCTGGAACAGGAGAAGAAGAAGTACGCCATGATGGAGATCAAGCTGCGGAACTCGGAGCGGGCACGGGAGGATGCAGAGCGCAGGAACCTGCTGCTGCAGAAAGAGATGGAGGAGTTCTTTGCTACCTTGGGAAGCTTGACTGTCGGGGCCAAAGGGGCCAGAGCCCCAGAGTGAAAGGAGTTGTTATGTGCCCACATGTGTCTGCTCTCACGCCCTGCAGGGCTGGCCGCAGGCTGCAGAGGAAGCCAGAAGCCTCGTTTGGGCCAGGCCATCGGTAGGGCCATGTGCCCCCAAGCTGGGTGGAGAGATGATCCTGACACCCCCGTGGGACTGTCAGGACCCCACACAGTCCAGGCAGGATCTGGATGTTGCTCCAATGGAGAAGGTCCCAGTGGGTGTCAGGATGGTGCCAAGAGCAGCAATTAGCTTCTCACTCAGGAAGAGGCCCCCATAGTCACCCAAACAGATGGCACCTAAGAGTCGGCCCAAGGCCAGGAACTTTGCGCGCTTTATTAAATGTGCTCTGAAAGCATGGTGCCTGTCACCAGCCTCATTCTTCATGGTTGTGCTAAGTAGGGTTTTCTAAGAAATGTTCCTCACAGGGTTGGGAGCCCCCTGGGGTGTGGGGCAGGTGAAGCTCCCTGAGGACCCCAGCACCCATCATCCCTCAGCCAGCTGCATTCCTCCAGCTCTCTGTCTTGATCTTCTGCAGCTCCTTTCTGCCTTCTGGGTCCTCTGGGCTCTGTAATCTGCCTTCCTCTGCTCCAGGCTAGTGCTTGTGAGCTGGAGGCAGTAGGGAAACTGTGCAATCCAGAGGGGTGGGTTGGCAGATCATCTCCCAGATCTCCCAGGAGTGAGAGTGAACCCATGACTGCCATGTCTACCCAGTCTTCCAGCCATCCTCAGACCTCAGGCCCACCCTCCCCCTAAGCCAGCCCAGGCACAGTACTTTTCTGGTTGCTAACAGAAGCGACTTAGGAAGGAAGGGCTCCTTTTGGCCTTTGAGTTGGTGGCAAAGGTGTGGTATTGAGAGCAACTCTGGCTGTAGCCGTGGAGATGAGCCAACTGGGGGTGAGCCAGCAGGTCACACTGGATCTGCAGTCAGGAATTTATTCAGTCTGGAACCCCAGCCCTTGGGTCTTCCCACCTTCCTTAAACCCCTCTGGAAATACCCTCAGACATGCCTAGAGGTGTGTCTCCTAGATGTTTCTAAATCCAGTCACTGAAGATTAACCTCCATGTCAGGCCCTGCTGGGAGAAGACTGGCCTGGCTGAGAAATGTTGGAGCCACTGCTCTTCCTCTGCACCTGCTAAATGTCATCACCTGTCCTCTCCTATAACCCTGAGCAGTAACTTATGGTGATCCACCTGGCCTCAAGTATCATCTCTGACAACGGGGCCAGAAGAGTCTGGGTCACAGAGCACTGGCTGCCTCCCACAAAGTACAAGCCCATGGCTGAGCCGATGGCAAGGCAAGCTGACATCTGACCTATGACTGACTGGGGACTTCAACACACCAACCAGATGCCAGCTGAGGACTCTCCACAGCAGCAGAGGTCAGGGTCATGACATTCCTAGGAGCTCCAAGGTGCCAGGGGAGATGTTGGTCTCTGCTCTGGGATACTTCCAAAAGCAGCCTGCATTTTCTGGACAGAGCTTGCCCAGTAAAATATCACCCTCCCCTGTATTCAGGGAGAAAAGGCTGAAGTGACTGGGATTCCTCGTAACTTCACCACATGACTGGTCTTATCTCCTCAGTGAGGGGGAGGGAGAAACAGATCGGGAAAAGTTAGGTGGGAACAGTGTAGTCTCAGGACCCTGTTGTGCTCCCACACCACAGTTGTGGAATTCTGCTGAGTTGATCTTAAGAGAAAAATGCCACCAGCTCATCAAAAGAGCTTCAAGGACCAAAGTCTCGTGAAGAGTTCACCAGAGGAAAGGGGGTCTGTCACTAATCCTGGCAAAGGCTCAACTGTCTGGCAGGCTCTGTAGGGAAGGCAGTTCATAAGCCGTGTCTGCCACCTGCTGGTCAAACTTGGATCTGCAAGTATAATTTTTATGGGAAAATTAATTTACCATCTATGTAACTAGCGCTCTACCTGCCTAGACATCTGACTTCTGAATGTGAGACACTGAGCACCACAGCTCATTCATGGTGGTGCTCTAGCCTGGGATCCCCATTCTTTTCTGCTTTCTCCATTAGGTTGTTTGCACAAGCTGTTCCCAAACCTGAAGGTTACAATTGTGCCTGTTACTGTAATGACCTCACAAGTAAACCAAAGAATTATGAACATGAACAGATGGGGAATGAGTCTTCTCTTTGAAAACCTAGTAAAGTGCTCTAGAAAGACTGAGCAGAGGTACATTGCTTAAAATAAAAAACCAATATGGATAAGTCAATCACACAGTAGTGAGAACTGGTAAAAATCTAGGATTCTGATCACAAATAGCTTCAGATGTGCTTTGAAATTTGGGATGGGGGCCAGTGAGATGACTCAGTGGATTATGGTGCCTACCACCAAGCTCAATGAGCTGAGTTTGATCCCTCAGACCCACATAATGGAAGGAGCGAGCCAACTCCTGCAAGTTGTCGGCCTTCACATACATGCTGTGGCATGTGTGTGTACACACACGTGCAATAAAGAAATGTAAAATTTGGATTTGACTTTAAAGAGAATGCTGGAAATCATTGGTAGGGGATGGGAGTTTACGTCAATGGTAGACTGCTTACCTAGGAGTAAGGCCCTGGGTTCATCAGAAGGTGGAGGGGAGGGGGAGAACACCCTGGAAACTAAAGTCTTACATGGAAAAATAAGTTGCTTTATATTGTCTGACAAATAAGTTTGATGCCCAGCACTCCTACCCCTGAGAAATGTGTGACAATGTATTTAAGACTGATTTTAATGACGTGTGTTGGAGGGAATAGTCCTTTAACTGCCTTTTAAGTGATGAGCTCTGGAGGCAGAGGCAGGCAGATCTCTATTGAGATCGAGGCCAGTCTGGTCCACAAAGCAAGTTCCAGGTCAGCTGAGGCTACAGAGAGATCTTGTCTCAAAACAACAAAAAGATGAACCTGGAATGACCTCTTACTCTGTAAAAAGGTTTGGGAATGGAACCGAGTATTCCTGTAACCCTACCAGCTCTATACCTTGGAGTCCAATCATACCACTGGTGCCAGGAATCCCAGTCTTTCCAACAAGGTACACAGCCCTCGTCATGCATCCCACCAAGTTCTGTGACAGCTGACCCATGCTCATGATGTGTTGTGGTCTGTGATAAAGTTGTTGGGAGATACAGCCATGGAAAGCTGCTAGGTTTGTCCTCTCATGGCTATAGATGGTGGGGAAACTATGCCCCAGGTCTCAGTCCCTCTTATTGAATAAAAGGGGCTGTCATACTAGCAGATCAAGTGCTTTGCACACATATCTCATTTTCTCGGGGGAGGGGCAATATAAATCTCTGTATTTTGCTGCTGAGGATGAGGAAGCACTGGAAAGCAAAGGGCATGGATGGCTCCAAACACGCACAGTAGAGTTAAAGCCTGTAGCTGGGCCTGGAGAGATGGCTCAGTGGTTAAGAGCACTGGCTGCTCTTTCAGAGGACTGGGGTTCTGTTCCCATATGACAGCTAACAAGGAACTGACCCCCTCTTCTGACCTCTGCAGACATTGCATGACATTGGTGCACTTAAATACATGTAGGCAGAACACTCATACACATAAAATACAATTTTTTTTAAAAAGCTTGTAGTTGGTCTCAGCCTGTGTTCCTTCCCATCGGTCCATGTGGAGAAGATGCTAGCTTAAGGGAGCAGTAGGCAAGCTCTAATAGGAGGTTGTGCATGGGAAACCAAAACGAGTGCTGTAATACAGACCTCTACGTAAGACGAAGGTGGAGGGTTAGGGATGTCATACCAAGTCCCAGGCTTGTAACGAGAATGGAGATCACTTAAGCAGAGGAGGGGAGGAGGCCATAGAAAGACGTGTGGTATGAGAAGAGTAAGGCAAGAGGGCTAGGGGAGGAGGCAAGGATCTGGTCACAAAGAGCGGAATACTCAGATAACCTTACATATCCAAACAGGGCATCCATGTCTATTGTGGGGTTTCACAAGGTTCTCCAGCCCTGTGAAGGTAGAGGGAAAAGCCCCTAGGTTGTGGCTTTTATAGAATTTACAATCTAGTGGAAAAAGACCATAAGGAAGCATGAAAATACAAGCAGGACAGTCTGACCATGATGTGCGCCGAGTAGGATGATCCCAGGAGAGCTGGGACAGGTTGGTGAGGAAGCCCTCTGAGGTGACAGAAAACTGAAGGATGGGTGCAGGTGGGCAACAGTGCCAGGCCCGAGAGGCACAACTGTGGAAAGAGTGCTCCCGCACTGCCCCCAAGCAAGAAGACTAACACTAGTAGGTGGGTGTCAAGCCTTTAAAAGGTAGAGTTTTGGATGGTGTCCTATCTTTTCTGGGGAGACATGAACAAAGACCAAATCTAACCCAAATCTAGCTTGGTAAACCAGTGAGTTTAATTCCAAATAAACTTATCAGTGGGGTTACTTCAAAGAGGACAGGTGGCTCAGAATGGCTCAAAGGCAGCTACATCACTGAAAAGCTGACCCCAGCCTGGGTGACAACTCAGGAGAGCTGCATCCCTGGGGCTCCCTGTCCAACTCAAGGCAGTTAGTTCTAGGAGTTTCCTTCACTTTTTGATTTTATAAATTTGGGGAGGGGCCTTGAGAATCTTGTAACTTTGAGCTTCTGAGCCTTGTTTCTTTAGCTTTTCGAGTCTTAAGTCTCCTTCCTGCAGAAGGCAACACTTTAATTAGAAGAAAATATTACACAACAGCGTTCCTCAGTCACTTATGACATACTCTTCAAGGGGATATGGGGACCCTGGTCCCTTTTCTTTGCTTCCTGGCCAGAGAATGTTTTTTCTCTACCAGGTCCCTACCATGATGTGCTGCACTGCCACAGGCCCAGAGCATTCTGGGTCAACCAGTCATGGACTGAATACCCTCAAACTTCAGAGCCCAAATAAGTCTTTTCATAATTATCTCAGGTATTTCACTGTGCAGAGCTAACCAAGGCAGATAGAAGAGAGGGATGCAGGTGGTGGTGTGGAGAGACCAGCAGGGTCAGATGTCACAAGGGCACAAGAGTTGCAATCTGTTTTCATCCTAAGGGAAAAAAAAATTTTTTTTTTCTTTTCATGGAGTGTGTGTGTGCACGAGAGAGGAGGGGAAGGTGCTTTCACCCACTTCCACGAATTGCCTCGCACTCTAACAAGGTTCCTTTGGCCACTGGGTAGAGAATGGGCACAATTAGATGCTGGGACCCTAGTTAGGGACACCATAAGCTGGAGAAGGCTGGGTAGAAGGTGGGTGAGAGATGAAGGAATGTGAATGGCATACAGAAGCAGAAGCTTTTAAAGATAGAAAGTAACAGAGCCTGTTGGCACACTGCTGACTTGACTTAGCAGTGTGGGGAGAGCCTGATAGGGAAAAGATCCCATGGGGAAGGGGGGGTCAGCAAAGGGCA